ACAATGGGTAGAACATCAACCAAAGGGTCAACATTAAAAGGAGGAAATAGACCATCAGAAAGAGAAAAAGAAACGGAAATGTGGAGGGAGGACAAGTTGGAAATGGAAGATGCATTTAGGCACACTTCTTTGAGCGCATGGAGGGAAAAATCGCAACCCCCGGTCTGTGTGGAGTCCATGGGGGTGTGGACTAATTTTTTGCCTCTGCAGAAGTGGATCCTTGCTCCTCGGTCTGGGCCATGTGGGCCATGTGGGCCTTAGACACGTGAGAAGAAGACTTAGGGCAGTCCTTGACCATATGGCCAGACTGTCTGCAGAACATGCAAAGTTTCTTGTTGAGATGATACTTATGCTCTTGTGGCATTGTAACAGGGAAATCCATCCCAACATCACACAGGCTCACAGGGGGGACAGTCTCATGGCCTCACTGACTGAAAGAAGGTCCTTAGAGTATGGTGTTTTATAGTTGTCATGGCTGTATAGTTGTGGCTGTGCAGTCATGGGACTACCCCAACTACACTTGCCAATGTATGTACATGAAAGAATGAAAGAGCACTGTTTTGTAGTGCAAGGGTTTATCCCTGCAACAGCATGAGCTTGCCATTGTCTCCGAGTTTTGACAAAAGATCTGGTTTAGCAGAGCTGACCTCAGACTTCTTGTTGTCCTTCGGAGGCTTGCTACTGGAAGTGGAGTTGAACAAGGAGGAGGAAGGGATGGGGTTGGAGCAGGAAGTGGTAGTGGTCTTGTTGCAGACATTGGAGGAGGGTTTTGCATGACAAGTTACTTCAGATTTACGCTCCCAATAGCATGCATCAAAGGTCTGTGATAAGGTGTGAAGTTTCGAAAGGGTAGAAGGTTTCCCTACCCTGGCAATGTCATCCTTGATACATTCTGGCAATCTGTTATAGAAAAAACGGCAGAGCACGGCTTCTCCGTAACCATGAAGTTGAGATGCATGTCAATTGAACTTGACAATGTACTTATTGATGTGGTGCCCGTCCTTCATATCCAGGGTCATAAGTTGGACTTCGGTGTTGCCCACAGGATCGTGAGGACAAAGTTGGTCTGAAGTTTGTTGACGAACTCCTGGTAGTTATTCATCCAATGAGGATGAAGTAAAGAATTTTGATCAAACAGCAGGTCCAGCTCAAACCAATCAAGAGCCATCCCCTTGAGGTAGGACTGCATGAAGATGACCTTGGTGCAGTTGCTAGCAAAAGCAAGGGGCCAGTCCTGGAAGTTCAGTTCGCACTGGACCAGGAATGCTCGGAGTTCATGGGGATCTTTTCTGTCAAACTGTTTGGGCTCACGGACCTTGGTCCAGAGAGCGGAAGATGGTGGAGGAGGTGGGCATCCAGTGTGACAAGCCAAACTGGCCATGGCCTGGGCTAGCTGTGTGATAGCTATGTTGGGGATGGGCTCGGCATTGTTGGTGGCTGGGACAGTAGGGATAGGAGGATCAGCAGGAGGAGGGTCAACGAAGTTGGGGACCTCGGAGCCGAGTCCAAAGAAGTGGACTGGATCTAAGGGCTGTTCAGTGGTGTCTCCAAAGTCGGAATCTGCAACTGGTGATCGATTTCTAATGGGGCTCATGATTGGAGTCAACAGGAGAGGGGTTTCTAAATTAGAGAAGCTGTGAAACTCAACTGGGTTTCTCGCCAGATGACTAGTACCAGGCTGCAAGGGTTTGGGAGAAGGTGGGGCTGAGTCAGGAACCAATGTGCATAGTTGCAAATGAGTGCGAGGGGCTTTGGGTGCCATACAAGTGTCAGGGACTCGTCTGGGGTCAAGGGAGCCTGGGTGTAGTGTCCAGGGCTAAGAGCCTGGTGGGGGGTAGATTGGGCGTGTGTACTGACAGGCCCAATGCAGGACAGCAGTCCCTGACCACTTAGACTGAAGTGGAAAGTTTGAGAAGAAGGCTACTCCTTCGGTTCCCACTTCAGGTTCGTTTATATACATGCAGCTTAGATCACATGACAGATGCCATGTCACCCTCACACACAGCCATAACCACCCAGGTGTCTCTGTGGGAGATCCTGAGGGCATCCGGTGCAGGCACGCATACTGGGCACAGTGGGAAGTCACCTGAGGTGCCTGGGCCAGGTGTACTGCAGATGGGTCAATGGTACATTGATACAAAGAAGGTCGTCTGTGTAGAATAAAGAGAAAATAAAGAAGAAGTAAGATAGGGGGAAGGTGAGGAAGCATGGATGAGGAGAGAGGAGGGAAAAAGGGGGAGGAGGTGAGGAGGGGTGGACAGTGGGGTATCAGGTCAGGTTGGGCCAGGTGGAGCTGGGTCAGGCGGGTGTGCCCTGACAACAAGACGTGTACTGTCAGGGAGTGATAAAATACTGTTAGAGACCAGAAGCAGGACGAAGGAAATGTCTCCATGGCAGAGGGCTCTGGCCTTAGCGACTCAGACCAGGAGCACTGTGCCTAGTTACACGTCCATGCCCTAATTTACTTACTGGCAGCAAGAACTAAAAAGGGGGATCAACTCTAGTCGATTTTATTACTAGGGTGTAACCTATCTACAAGTTATGTATATATAGTTACAGCGAGGGTGGGCCCATGAATGACAGGACCAAGTGGACCGGAGCTAACGGAGTTAAACATTAGCTGACTGAATATTACCAATGAGTCAGGTTATGGGGTTAGTGGAGTGGTGGCTATAATCCAGAAATGGAAAGGAGGGATAGGCCCGAAGGTAGACTTGCAGGGCAGGCAAGTGAATTGCCCAGCAGGGGTGGGAGTGCACTAGTGGACGTTGGAGCTGTCTGGAAGCCTTCAGGGTTCCGTACTTAGGGAGGCATAGGTAATATATTGAATTGAAGGGGTGGTGACCATTGAGGGAGTTGGAGGTGATTGCAGAATACAGGGGCTCCAAGGTTAGTGACGAAGGAGCAGAGGTAGTCCGGAAGGATCGGAGGTAGTGGAGGACAATGGCCATAGATGGATATGACAATAATGTAATAAGTTTTCAATAATTTCCCTAAACATAAAACTGTCACCCACTGAGTTACAGCAAATGGGTTCCATCCAGCATCTTCAAAAAGAGAGACACTGTAGTGAATCCATCTATCTCATAAAGGATATGCTCCAGAGTGTCATCCAAAGTGGGATAATACTCAGTTAAATGACAAGAGGGAAGATTGAATGTGGTCATAACCCTCCCTGATGAAGGAGTGAAAATGAGGATCATAGGGGTGATGGAAGTAAAATCCCCTTCAGGAAAGCTCATCCTGCACTTGAGATAGCAAGTCATGGACTAGCATCCTCAGTGACACATTTGTAAAATGAACAACTTGCTGAAAGCTTCAATGGCAATTGTCAAAATTGGCAGCAAGTGCTTGATGCCAAACATGAGTTTGCTGAAACTCTGATCTCACAGATACTGCTCCCTGGGCCTGAGCAGCCTCTCCCATCATCAGCAAAAAATTGTTATGCTCCTGAGTGCTCTGGAGTATGGGGAGCACTGGGAGAATCAGGAGGAGATTGGCCAGTCCAGGAACAGCTCATTTCCTCCGGAGTTGGTCAGGTACTCCAGGGCACTCCCAGGAGGGCATGGAGCATTGCTTTGTGCACAAACATATCCAGTAAATACAATTTAATGCTTCAAAATGTATAGGGGTGAGAAGCTTCTGGGAGCTCCTGGAGCATTTGAAAATGAAAAGGAAAAAAAAAGAGGGAAGACTCCCCATGAATACCTCCTACCACAAGACTAACACAACAAGACACTACTTAACATTTAGATCAAACACTATACTATACATCAAGGACACTGAGACTCACCAATACACAGTCAAAATTTATGGCCTGATATATGATTAATCTGGCAACTTAATCACTTTCGGACTTGCAGAATATGGAGGAGGGGGAAATGGGGGAGAATGAGGGGGGAATATAGAGGGAAATGAGGAAATTTTGAAAAATAGGGACTTCTAAAAAGTTGAAAAAATAATTAGGGAAAAAATCAAAAAAATTCAGGAACTGTAGTGCCTTTGAAGTGCTTTCAGGATATATAATTATTTGCGAAATTGAGGAAGAAATGATGGAGAAAAATGGAAAATACTTTCAGAGACCCGAGAAATAATGAGAACTGAATTGATGGGAAAGTCTGAAAATTGAATGGGAAAGTGAGGGGAAGCCTTGTAGCATTGTTATTTTCTGCTGTTCTAATTTTTCCTGATTGTTCTTGGTCTCACTCCCAGCTGCTCCTGGATGCTCCTGGATGCTCCTGGATGCTCCTGGGAGGGTCCAGGAGCAGCTAATGGAAAATACTTTCGGGGACCCAAGAAATAATGAGAACTGAATTGAAGGGAAAGTCTGAAAATTGAATAGGAAAGTGAGGGGAAGCCTTGTAGCATTGTTATTTTCTGCTGTTGTGATTTTTCCTGATTCTTCTTGGTCTCATTCCCAGCTGCTCCTCAATACTCCTGGAAGCTCCTGAAAGCTCCTGGGAGGGTCCAGGAGCAGCTGGGAGTGAGACCAAGAACAATCAGGAAAAATCACAACAGCAGAAAATAACAATGCTACAAGGCTTCCCCTCACTTTCCTATTCAATTTTCAGACTTTCCCATCAATTCAGTTCTCATTACTTCTCGGGTCTCCAAAAGTATTTTCCATTTTTCTCCATCATTTCTTCCTCAATTTTGCAAATAATTATATGTCCTGAAAGCACTTTAAAGGCACTATAGTTCCTGAATTTTTTTCCCTAAATTTTTTTTTTCAACTTTTTAGAGACCAAAATTTTCCTCCCACTGCTCCTGGCACATTGCATACTCCTCACCACTCCCAGCCACTCCTGAACCCCCTCCCAGGAGAACACTATTGGCTCCAGGAGTGCCCAATCTGCTGTTTTGTCTCCCACATGCTCCAGCCACTCCTGATGCTCCGGAGCATAACGGACTTTTGCTGATGATGTTAATATGAACTTCAGCCTAGTAAGTCCAATTCAATCAGTTTCACCAACACACATATATTGTGTGGAGTTCACATACCTCACTTGCGAGTAGTGAAATTTCAAGAGAATCAATCAAGCTCCCAGAAATTCCCAAACAAGATGTTGGGGGTGCAACATTTGAAGATTTATATGGCTGGGTGCGAACTCATCATGAATTAGAAGCATTTCGGGTGACAAGAGCAGAACTGTTTTGGCAAGAATCACAGTTGCAGTGGAAAATCCTCCAGGAGGAATACCTCAGAAAGCAGCAGGAACTGGTGCTGGTGAGGGGTACAAGGGAGATGTGGCACCAACAAGGTTGGTCTGTGAACTGAAACCAGTCACACCTACTGCTGAGCTAGAAAGTTGGGCATGGGCTCCTGAGAAAACAGGAAGAGGAGAGGCAGCAAGGGAAGAAAATGAATGGGAGGTGCCTGAGGATGCAGTGCTGGCAAAGGCAAAGACAAAGACGAAGATGAGTGTTGAGATGGAACTGATGACATTGGCCTCTTGTGGTCATGTTTAAAGAGCCTGCTTGTCAAAAACCCGAGTTCGAAAGGGAGTAAATGCGTGAGTCTGAATGCAGGTGGGGCTCAACTAGAGGGGGGTCTGAGGGCTCCAGTGGTGAACCGAAGCTTCTCAGGGAGCCCGGTTCTGCTGGATGGTACAAGAGGCTCTAAGAAGGACGCGGCCTCAGCGACTCGGAGGGAGTGCTGTGCCTCCGTTACGTCTCAGTTAGTCCTTGTATTTCTTATGTCTGAGGTATCTTGTAGAACAGGAACGGGAATCACTCAGAGGGACTTTGGGTGGCATTTTAGTCGAGATTAGAACTGAGGAACTACAGGTTCTAATCTACAGGTATTTATAAAGGAGAATGGGGAGGACTTAGTCAAAGTCCGAAATGACAAATGGGACAACACCGAAAGGTCCCAAACAATATTTAAAACAGGGAACTGAGGTGTCAGGCCAAGGAGGGCGGAGTTGGAGGCCGGAAAATGAATGGGGAAGACAAATGGGTAAAGGGGGTTAGCCGACTGAATGGTAGTAAGAAGGTAGTCATGCTAAGAATGGAAGGTGACTAATAAGTGATAACGTGAGGGAGATCACCGAAGGATGCAGGTAGCTCCGAAAGCGGAGTTGCATATCTGAAGGATGTTAGGTGACTCAAATAAATGAAATGGGTGGAGGAATGGTTTAAGGGCATGTCACGGGATGTTGGAGGTCTGTCGGGATATTGGAGCAAATCCGGGGTCTCCAAATGTTCCGACTCGGGACCGAGCTTCCGGGATGGGAGTGGCCAAGGTTCGGTGTGCCGCAACCAGACCAGAGCTGAGACAGTCAGGAGGGAAGGTGACTTGGGGAGTGGGGAGGCATGGTGTAGGGGATGGTGAAGTTGTTAGGAAGGTGTGGTGTGGTGGGAGTGCACGGGGTCGGGATTCCGGGATATGACACTGCTGGGGTATCTGGTCCCAAAACAGGTCCTTGGGCTGCTCCTGATGATAAACCTGCACTGAAATCAGAGGCAGCAAGTGGGGGGGCATCAACCCCAAAGCAATGAAGAATTTCAGCAGCTTGTTGTATAATCCTGGCTGGGTTTGGTGACACATTCACATTGGAATTCATGTTCAAATTCATGTTTGACATTTTAAACACTGTTGTTGAGGTGTGGAGATTCAGTGTAGAGATTTGAAAAAAAAAACAAGGGAGTGGATGACAGCTGGAATTTGCCAAAAATGTACAAGAAAAAAAAAAAAAAAACAGAAAATCATCTTCATTTGAGCATTGCCCCCTCCCATAGCAGCCTGCATGGAAATCTTCTATTCATAAGTACATCCAGTTCAATAATGAGCTGTTAGCTAGTGCCAGAATAAAATGACAGGCTGTGGAAGAAAAATCAGGTTGGCAAAGTTTCTGGGCATCATGAATGAATCACCCAAAATGTATTGAATTACTATTTAGCAATCAAGTGGGCAAAATAAAGTTCCAGGATAGTACACCAGCACTTCCCATACAAGGCAAACACCTGCCTAGACAGCCAAACCTAGTTAGCAAGCAGCATAGGCTCAGTTAAACAATGTACAGGTAGAACATGCTCTGTGGTCTTTTGTGACATCAGCCAGATGACCACCTGAGAACAGTACAAAAGTTTGCCTAGGCTGGGTTTGAACCTGCAGCCTCTTGTTATATGATATATCAGATACAATGGCCACTTGACCATAGCACCCAGCATCTGGACTTATCAATCACACCTATATATATTACAATCTTACATAATTGCTAACAATCAATACATCATTCAGCCCCCACCTTGGACAATTGGCCCACAAATAAAAACAACAATTTATTAATGGTAAGTGAGTCAAATATGTAACCTAGGTAGGTATGTGATGAGTGGCAAGTATGCAAAGTGTGCAAGGTGTGTGAAGTGTGCAAACAAAATGTGTGAATGAAGTGTGTGAAGTATGTGACCCTTGTCTAAACATACTATGAAATGAGTTACCAAAAAGAATTTCTGCATTTGCATGTTGTCCATTGTTTGTTGCATACTTTGCATACTTTGCACACTTTGCACACTTTGCACACTGTGAGTTGTCAGCAACTTCCCTTAGTTCCCACACTTTCCTAAGCTCCCTGTCAGCAATTTCCCATAGTTCAATTCAGACTTTGCTGACTTTGCAGACATTGCATACTCCACATACTTCATATACATTGCTGAGGCTGTGATGGATTATTTGCTCTTTAGTATATCAGCTACTTAGAGGTTTAGCTCTTTAACTTGTTGCGAGAGTTGAATGAGGGTATAAACAAAAATCCACTGAGGCTACCAACCTACTAGGATGTGTGTTGAGCTAGAATTAATGCATGGTGCTATGGCTAAGTGGCTTAAGTGTTGCAATACATCGGAAGCTGCATGGGTGTGGGTTCAAACCCAGCAAAGGTGAAAAGCTGATTTCAGGTGGTTGTTCAGCTGTGTCTGTCATATCCATACAATCCTGACCTCCACTCCAGGCTCCCGGAACTCCAAAACTGACTCTGGAGCCCTACTTCCCTTCCGTCACCTTCTCCTTGCTGACTCCCAAGAGGCTATCCCACCTCCAGCTCTGACACCACCTTCAGTCCAACTCCAGAACATTCCAGGTCCAACCTCAACCTTGACACCTTCCAGACAAGTATGCAACTATGCTCCTGACTCTGGACCTCCACTCTGGAATCCCATTTGCATCTCCATCTTCACTCTCCCTTTGGGAAACACCATTGAGTCAAACCCTTGACCCTCGGTGTTGTTCCTCATTCCAGCTCCCTTTGTCTCCTTTCAGAGTACCCTTGCTCCTTTTGATTCCACACCCCTCCTTATATACAATGTACATAGTAACTTGTAACCTCAGTCCAAAATCAACTTGATTCCCCCCTAAGAGACTTTCCCTCTGCTAGATCCAAAATTAGGGACCCCCAGGACAACCAGCAATGGCACAGTGCTCTGCATGAGTCGCTGAGGCCGAGGTCTTTCCACACTAAGTCTCCAATTCCACTCCAGAGTCATCTGAACTTGCCGTATCTAACAGTGTCTCACCAAGGACTGCAGGGCATGTTCTGCCTGTATATGCAGTATCTAACTGACCCTGAGCTGCTGGTCAACCCCCATGAGGAGTAAGGCACAGCTCATAAGGATTTGCTGTCATGCAGGTGGTGCCTTGGTGAAAATCTCATCATGGAAATTCAAAAAATTGTGTCACAGGGAGGCAAAGTGATCTGTGTACATAGATTTATGTTCCATAACTATGCTGAATAAATTGTGATGAATTCCAGTAATTCCTCCCTGAGCAACTTGTGTGAATGACACATATCGTCCCTGATGGAGAAAATAAGACTTGTTGACTGTGTGTACTCTGTCCTGTCTACCTCCTGTTCTAGCATCAAACTTATTAAGGAAACTAAAACACCTCTTGTTCAATTGTCCTTGTTATGGAAATGGGATTTTTCCATTTTTAGCCTCTTATGGGCTCTGTACAGTACAAAGTCACGTGACATGTAAATAATAACAACTTAACCAACAACAATCACCAAAATCCACACTTTGTTAATGTCATTGTAAAGACAACTGTTAAACCTCTGTTACATTAACTGTAACACTATTTCGATGTCACGGTCACTCCCTGCACTGGGACGCTATAGAAATGGGCCAATTAGGCCCCATTTTTATAACAGTCCTTCATATTTCTGGCAAGTGGATGACAGGGTTTGTGTGGCACTTTCAGCAAGCTCTGAGAAAAACTTTTGTGAGAGTCCATTTATCACTTCCTTGGTGGCAACCAGTTTTGCCCCTCATCACCCAAATTCCCACTCGTTCATTATGTCTAACATAGCCAACAATTTATCTCCCAATACAGTCAGGGTGATTCAGGAGGAATTCACTTGTAGTGCTGAGCGACTACACCAACTTGGGATAGAATTACCATCTCTTCCAGCTCCTAACTTTGGGGCCCAAGGAGCCCCAGCAAGTGGACAGAACTCATCTTCAGCTCAAGGGATTTCATCAGCAAGTGTGCCAGTGTCAGTGCCAGCACAGCACCATCCCCATGCTGCTTTGTCAGTCCAGTCACATCCTTATCCACCCAGTTTTCCATCAATTGCTGCTCCCCCTCCTCTTCCTATTTTCTTGGTGCCACATACTCACTCATCTCCATACACTCCAAACCAGCCTATTACTTCCAGTGGGACTCCTTTGGCTTTGCCTGCCCCAATAGTTTTGTCTACTGCACCCATTCCTGCTGCATTTCAGGGGATTCCACCAGGGGGATGTCCAATGACCACAGTTAATGCTTGCAGGACTAGTTCCGCCACAACTTGAGCAATGTGCTGTTGGAAAACAGTGTGCTAGCACAGCCATGCTGTCAGGGATTGCTTGCCAATCCGAGTCGAATATCGCCCAAAAACCCAGTTGTAGACAAAGCTGAGGTTCCAACCCTCAGTGGCACATAGAGCTATATACACGAGTGGCATCAATCAATCGGAAGAGATAGGATCAAAGGAACTAAACAATGATCCGATAGAAAACGAAGTGAATAGAGATGAAGGAACACTTGGATCAGGGGGCAGAGTCGGATCAGGAGAAGGTGAGGGATTACGATATATGAGGGCCAATGTGGCTACATGCAGTGATATAGTCTTACACGATATCGATAGGGTAACAGAGAACCGCTTATGCTATGTCCCCTGACACATGTGAGTTTTGTACAGCCACATTCCCATGGCCAAGCAAGGAACTCGCCCGGCCAGCCACATCTATTTATCTATTCTTTTGTATTCATTTCAGACTATCCCACTCCCAAACTACATGGGAATTACCACTCATTGAATCACTTTTTCCCTCAGTTCTCTTTTGCATTATTTGCTTGAGACTGAGTTGCCCCACTTTGCTAGCAACCTCATATTACTTTAGAATCCACCCAAGATTCCACATATCTTGGCTCACACCTCATGAGCCAAACAACCAAGAAATCTTCCCAAATAGGGAAGTAAACATCTTCTATGATTCTGGAGAAGACCCCAATCATGAAGCAGTAGTCCATTGCCAGAGATGCTGAAGGAGAGAACAAAGGAAGATCAGTTGGGAGGTTCTAATGAGACCACCACCAAGCTGTTCCCTGGTTCTTTAGTTTGGATGGGGAGGTGTACTAGTAGATCTGTTGTAATTATAGTACCAATCCAAGTGTTTTGGCTAATTCTATTTTATGGGTTAGTTTGAAGTCTCTGATAAATGACTTACAGATAAACAAAGCCCTGCAGAGCTGTTCCTCTAGTGTAATTTCTCAATTTATCTGGGTGTAATTCTGTGTAGGATCGTTAAATTTGGATTTTAACCTGAAAAAAATCTCCTTTCTAGTGAATTTTTCAAATATTCTACTCTGTTAATGGGTTTAGATCGTGTCTGAAGTGTCCTTGGCCTTGTCTTATTTTTATCTTATTTTTATTGCTTGTTTTAACAGTAGCAAAATAACTGTTTTGTGTTTACACTTTGAAATCTGGAGTGTTAACCAGCTCTCCTGTTGAAATATTACTTAATATCTCTCTCCCTAATTGCTGCCTTTTACTACAGTGGCAATCTTAACTGTATTTCACTTTTTCGCACTGGAGTGATAACCAGAAATGCTTGAGAAAAATAATACTCTATTTTCTTCCTTTTCTGAGGGGGGGCACAAAGTTGCAGAAAGGGTCTCCCTTTTATACTCCTTGGGTTGCCTTCATTTTTCACGCTCTACCTCATATTTACAGGATTTATTTACAATGAATTTTTCATGTTATAGTTCTGCTGTGCTGAACTGCACTGAACTGCAGCTCTGCTGCAGTCAGACTGCACCTAGAATCCTTATTGTCCTTCCTCACCTAAGCTATTTTAATGATTTAATTAGAACTTGACTGGGCTGCACTTGTTGCAGTTTTTTATTTCAAATTCCTCTTGTTTACCATTAAGTTTGCTATGACTCAGTCATTCTGAATTCAGACTTCATGTTGCTATGTGTACAGCTGCACTATGACTTTCAGCTGATTTATTCTATTTTTATCCAGTGACATTTAGTTGAAATGAGACTTGAAATGATAAACAAGTGAAATTGTTCAAGTTTAGAGCCAAAAAAAGAGTTGCTAGTAGTTAAGAATTGATCAAACAAATGTGTTAGATGTTAGAACTGGGCAAGGGTGGACGATTCTGGAGGGGAACCGGAGACTTAGCAAGGAGGGACCTTGGCCTCAGCAACTCAAGCAGAGCGCTGTGCCATTGTTGTTTGTCCATTTGGTCCTTAATTTCATAGGCAGTGAGCAGGAAGTCTCTGGGGGGCATTTCAGGTCGATTTTAGACTAAAGGCCTAAAACAAGTATGTACAAGCACCGATATATATAATGGAGAGGGCAAAAGCACAAGGAAACAAAGGGGGTCCGAATCGGAACAAAGGCATCTGAACGGGAACAAAGGGACAACAGAAGCGGGGCGGTGTCAGGGGATGGTCCCCAGGTCCCTGGGTCCCCATGACCCCTCTCTCTATAGCCCACAGCCCTGTGTGTGAACAGCCTATCCTAAGGCACAACCTACTGTGGGTAAGAAAGTGAGAAGAAGGTTGACTTCTCACTTTCCCACAGTGGCCCCAATATGGCGAAAACTTCCGGGGATACCTGGAAGTCACATGAAGGGTAGGAACCGGGCCCGGAGCATGCAGTGTGTGGAGCGTGCAGGGTGGAGGTGCACATACAGGTCCAGGTCCGGGTCCGGATGCAGGTCCGGGTCTGGGCTAGTCAGGGTGTGTGCCCTGACAGCGGTACTGAAGGTCATAGGGCAGAACCTGTGGTACATCCGAAAGGAGGTAAGGAGGGCAAAGCCCAGAGGGGCAGGAGAGTGAGGTGAAGTGGGGATGATGACTAACTGGCTAGAATGGGAAGAAGCAGCAGTCCAAATAAGGATGAGGGGAAAATGCGAAAGATACATTACAAGTGGTGAAAGTGCCAAAGGTGATCCGTGGAGCTCAGGGGTTATGGAGCTTATGGAGGTTACAGAGGCAGGGTTGAAAGTCCAAGGAATATTGGCAATGGTGTTTACATAGTATGAGGTCACCAATGCAATGGACTAAAGAGTCAAAGTCCAAGGTAGGAACTATGATGGAGTCTTGGAGCGAAGGTATGAGTGGCATCCGAGTACGAGGTATGGGACAGCAGCGGAAGGTTGTAACTTGGTGGGAGGTTGGCAGAAGAGGGCCAGAGGGAAGAGAGAGGAGGGAGGAAAAGTGGAGAGGAGTGGAGGAGAGGAAAGGTGTCAGGTCCGAAGGTGAGTATTGGAGTGGACAGGAGAAGGGTAGGAGAGTGATGGAAGGGTGGAGGTGTTGTGAGGAGGAAGAGGAGGAGTGGGAGGAGGAGTAGGAGGAGGGTGGTGAGAGGAGTGGTGTTCAGTCCGAGGTGAGTATCGGAGTGGACAGAGATAGGGCAGGAGAAGGATGGAGGAGTGGAGGTGGCATGAGGGGTGAGAGGAGGTGTGGTGTCAGGTGTGGTGTCAGGACCAAAGGTGAATTGTGAGGTCTTAGGGTGGCTCAGCACACAAGGCCATAAGTGATACAAGATAGTGTATTTTATGGTGGTGTGTAAGCAGTTACCCGGAGGTTCCCACTTGCCCACGTGACTATATGTATCTAATTTACATGTGACTCGGGGTTCGGGGCTATTGCCCTGACATTCTCCCCCCTTGCGTTGCATTTGCGACGCTGTAACGGGTCTATTGCCTAGACTCGAGACAGAGAGAAGGGGGAGGGTGGTAGTGTGCGCAGGTGTGGTTCGTGAGGCCGGGTCTTGGTCTGTGGGCGCTACTGAGTCTGCAAAAACCTCAAACAAACACTCACCTACGTCTCTCTTGGACATCAAGGCTGAGTATTATGATGTGAGGGGTCTTAGACGTGAGCAACTAGCTCAGAGGGGGCGTTAGGGTCGTGGATGGCGTCTTTGCCACTTGGATGCAACTTCTGCTTGTCCCTTCACAGGTCTATTCAATACTAACTTGTTATGTACAAGTTGTTATCTAGTTTATATATGTTTGAAATGAAATGAATGGACTGGGGGAATGTAAACGGGCCGTTAGGTAACCGTAAATGACGAATATCCAATTGGGAACAAAGAAACAATAAAAGAAATATGAATGAATGGGGAATATATCATAACGGGTCCGAAATGGGAAATGTAAAGGTTAACTCCGCAACGCTTCGCCACAGCGCCCGCCTATCCTCCCGTCAGCAACCTCCTCGTCTCCAGCTTTCCAACGAGCCCCTATTCGTCCCATTTGGTGCAGTAGTTGTTGAGATGTGGCCATTGACAGGTGCTGTCAAGACCACGTGAGACTCTACTCCATGCTGAACCATCCAGGCATGGGATTGCCATTCTGGGAAATGCTCCGGGGGTGAAGAAGCAAGGTAGAGCATCACTATCGGGTGGGAAAATGGCTGGGTTGTATGTGTAGGTATGGAGATCTGGAGAGGGGGTGAAATCGGCGGCGTGGTTGGGTGTGGGAATTTTGCTTGGGGTTGTTGGGAATGATGGGGAACATAGGGAAAAATAAGGAATGAGTTTGTGGAGTGTTGGATAGTGATAGAATGAACATCGGGCACGTCAGCAGATATGTACTGTGTGTTGGTGACCAAATTCCGCAGAATCCGACTTTTTGCGGTACACGGAGTTGTCCCCACAACAACGCATACAAGGTTGATAGTGAATAAAACAGAGTTTTAATAGTTGATTTACATTGAGTTTGGAATTATCAATGAGTGTTTTGTTGTTGCCACTTTAAAGTGGGCGATTTTGTACATGTTGGTGAAGAAAAGAGAGGGGGTTTAAGGAATGAATGAGTGTGGGCCGTTACTTTGAAGTGAACAGCGATACATTGGTATCGCAGGGAGAGAAGAAAAAAATGGTGGAGTTTGTCGAAAATGAATTTCGACCCAAAGGTTGTATGTCTTTGGTGTTCCTCACTTGTTCTGTGAGGGTTCGTGTGTAAGTGGTGTTTACACACGAGCAGTGGTGGATGTGGGTCTTTTGACGGAGTGGAGACTTCCACAATTGTTACTTGCAGTTCCTCGCATACAGTATTGTGTGCGGGGCCTCGAGTTGGGGGAAGGTGTTTTCATGGGCGCCTCGATGGCGTATTACCATGTCACTTTCCCTTCTCTCAAGGGTGGATTCATTGCCCCAGAGGAGGGTTTTCCTCCAGGTTGTTCATCTGGACATCCGATTGCTGCGTCGGATGCAATGACGTAGCCTGGGCTACATTGTCGGGCTGTGGGCTCGACAAAGTGGGTGCTCCCTGGGTGGGAGCGGGTTGTT